TTAACAGCAGAAACGAGCCTGAGCATGTGCCAGGAGTTTAATCCGAGTTAGGGTAGGAGTTAAAACGTGAAACGCAACCGCTGGGGGGGCTCTAAACCCAGCGCCCCGGGATATGGCGCAGAGGAACTTGCGGAAAAATGCTCTCGGATCATGTTCCTTGAGCATTCCGGCGAGCAGCAGGCGCAAGTCTTCTCCGCTGAGCTGGAGGAACCGAAACAAGACCACCAGAAGGAGACCATGGTGAACAACGTGGAAACCCATGGCGACGACAAAAAGCGTCAGTCGCTAAAGGACAAGCTGAAACGCACTCAAGAGCAGCTAACGCTGGCGCGTGCCGGGAAATCTGGTGTCCAACGTGACCGTCCGGCACCCTACGGCGGTAAGGGTGATCGCGGCAGAGGAAGCAGGAACGGCCAAGGCAGGGGCCACGTAAAGAAGGGGGGTCAAGGTTCAGGAACGACGACGTGGAGCGAGAAGCGCTGCTCGATGTGCGCCAAATTCTACGGCCACGACGAAAGCAGAGCTTACCTACGCGCTTCGCAGCCACAACGCGTCGGAGTGCAAGCACAAGCTGACCCAGACGCCCAAGTCACCACCCCGCAAAGGCGATGGCAAGCAGAAGAAGAGGGGCAGTCGCAATTGACTAAGCGGCTGGAAAAACGCCCTGAAGCTAGTCAGAAAGAGCATAAGCAGCATAGAAAGAGTAGTCGTAGTAGTTTTCTGTTGCTCTCGTTGTTCGGAGCAAGTTCATCATCAGAAACTAGCGCATTTTCAGTGTTCGCATCATCGTCGTCGCCTTCTGGTCCATCAACGCTACAAGCTGCTGATACAGCAGAGAACTTTGCGCCATCAGGTTCCTCTGCGTCTTCAGTCAGCGGAAACCTCGTAGGACCAAGTAGCTCACATTCAACAGACAGTAGCTCTTCGCCATCTAGTAGCGTTCCACCACCGACAACGCCTAGGCTGCAGCAGTCTTCTAGTGCTACGCCGTCATCTTCTAGTCACAACCGCCACTACGTCCTCGTGGGACAAGTAGACAACAGCAACGACAAAACGAATGAGCACTACAGAAAAGTCATTGACTCCGGGGCGAGCGTGCACATCGTTCGTGGCCGGTCCCTTTTCAAATCAATTGACAGCAGCAAAATCGTCAGGGTTCGCGGTGTGGCTGGTGCTGATACTGGACGCGTGGGACGTCTGAAGGGCAACATCTAGGGCAGCAACATGCAAGCAATCTGGTTCCCAAAACTTCCGGCGCAGGCCTTGATCAGCGTCAACAGGCTGAAAGACGACGCGTGGGAAGTTGCGCCTTCTCCGCACGGAGACACGACAACGAACTTGATTGCCGGGGCGTTTGTCAGCTTAGGAGCAACCGCAAAAGGGCTCCCTAGCATGCCGAGCCTCGAGCTACGGCAAGGAGATCCTCGTCCTGGGTTCTTCTGCTCTCCCATGCGCGACCAGGAATTTAGTGGCGTCGGTCTTGATGAAGTTTTTGAGTCAGTGCCTCCCGCAGCTGTGAGAAAGGCAGCAGCACGTGCTGGAAGAAGGAGGCGAGGCCCTCGCGATTGTCAAAAGTCTGTCCGTGGCAAACTTCTACAGCACTGGAGGATGGCGCACATCCACGACAAGGGCGAGAGAGTAACGCGCCTCGACTGCATGCGAGCCAAATTCAGAGGGATGGGAGCTGATTCAACTAGCTCTACTGCACAGCAAGACAGTCCGTCCCTCATGCTGTTTTCGACTGACTTCTTCGGTCCAGTAAAGCCAACCACTTACCGCGGCAACAGGGTCGTCATGCTGTTCGTGTGCAACTCTTCGCAGTATATCGTCGCCCGCTCACTCCCTGCAAAATCGTTCGCCCCTCAGGCAGTAGAAAGCTTTGGTAGGGAGATCCGGAGAAAAGTCGGCGCCAATATACTGCCAGGGGAAGCTGCCACGCGGCTGATTTCAGTGGGCCTCAGAAGTGACAACGAAGCCACGCTAAAGTCGGCTGACATGGCTTCGGTTTGTGAGCGATACAACGTCGCGCATTCGTTCAGCATCCCGCGCATGCCGTGGACGAACAGCCACGCGGAGCGAGCGGCTCAGAGTCTCAATATATAACGCGCTGAGGTCTGTGATGCTGCACGTGGATCCCCACACTTGGGACTATGGTCTCCGGGCTGTAGTTCATGCGTGGAACCTCATGCCAAGGCTAGACAAGGAAAGTTGCATCGTACGCGCACCGCTAGAGACCCTAAGCAGCAAGGTCCAAAACCCGACGAACAGGGTGAACGTCGAGAACGAGAGAAAGCATCTTCGTCGGCTTGGTTGTTTGGCTATGTTTCGGCCTGGCAGGACGGAGTTAGCGAAACAAGACGAGAAGAGCTCAGTTCTCTCTCCGAGGGCACTTACAGGCGTCAATCTCGGTTGGAGCGACGAGAACCCCGGCTGGTTAGTGGGCTGCTTTCCCGATCCAGCGTCAGAAAGATTTCCTGTGTATCAGTGCAGCAGCGTCGTGCTCTTGGAGGAGATTCTGGCGCCAAACGTGAAACAGCTGCGCAGTAACAGCACTGCGGCCCTAGACGAACAAACCTTGGGGAGGTTGAAGGCGTCGGTCGTTCATGCTTCTGCTGAAGCTTCCGCTGGGGTAGTTCCAGGAACTGCCGTAGGGGAGTCGCTGAAGCAAGACCTAGAAGGATCTTTGCCGGTAGGCCGCGCGTCAAGCGCGATGCTTGAGCACGTCGATGCCCATCAAGCTCCTGCTCCCACCGAGGACAGCGAGGCAAAAACGCACGCCGATGCGTCTGGAGCCGAGCCCCCACCTTCCAAACAAGTGGATGGCTCACCGGCAGTCCAGTATGGACCTCTTTGCCGCCCTGCCAGCGAGGTGAAGAGAGGTCGACCCAAAGGGGCAAAAGACAAGCATCCGCGGGTTCGTCGTACGAAAGCGCAGATCCTTGCGCAGCAGCAGCAGCAGTCTAGTTTTTGCGAGGCGATGCGCAGTCACCTCGAAGAAGAGGACGGCGAGGAACTCATCACAGCTGGGATTTTTCTGGCGAAAGATCACGACGAGTACAACACTCCGCCGGGTGGCACTACAACCCCGGGCAAAGCCTTCAGGCACGAAAATCCGTACCGACCGCGGTGGATAGAGGCGACCCAAGTAGAGGCAGCAAGACTGGAGGCTTGCCGCTGTTGGCGGAAACTTGTGGCTTCTGAGTACTCGGACTTCTACGCCGGAAAATTGAAGTGCACACCGACCGCACCGCGCTGCTGTTAACGAGAAAGCGCCGCGGGCGCTTCAGAGCTAGGCTAGTGGTTCTTGGCAACCGTTGGCAGGCAGAAGCCAACTCGGGCGCTTCGCTCTACGCAAGCGTCGCGTCGCACCTTGGAAACCGACTAGCGCTGATTTCCGGGGCAGAAAGGAAGTGGTCGATGAAGGCCTTTGACGTCGGCAATGCCTTTACTCGGGCAAGCATTCAGCACCACCGAGTTGCATTCTCGATTCCCGAACAGTTCTGGGATGGTGAAGAAGATGATGGACGGCGTCTTCTCTTGAAAGCTTTGCACGGCCTTCCGATCTCACCAAAGCTATGGGGCGACCAAATCGCCAAAGACCTTCGTAGCCTGGGTTGGACTGAAGCAGCAGCGGAGCCGGGATTGTGGCGTAAAGTCGACGCTAGCGGCGAGCTGATCGCAATTTTGACCATCTACGTTGATGGCTGCGTAGTGATTGCGAAAACGGATCAGCTGGCGGATGAGTTGACTTCCCAGGTGCACAAGCTGCACCCGGTCACGATGATCAACATGGAAAAAGCACCAAAAGAAGCTGATCTGCATCTGCCCGATGCCGTGAAGTTCGACTTACTTGGTGCAGATTGCACCTACTCCAAACAGCAGGGAGTCTTGCGCATCAAGATGCGAACCTACGCCGAGAAAGTGCTAAAGAAGTTTGACATGCATCGAAAGGACCTACGAACGCTTCCGACGCCGGACTTCGAGGAGGGTCCGCTGTACGACGAAAGCGCAACTTTCTCCGCCTTCCCGTTCAGGGCACTGGTCGGCGCACTACAGTGGTTGACCGTGACAGCGCGCCCGGATCTTGCAGCAGCCGCCAACAAGCTAGCACGAGCAACGGCCAACAAGGTCAACAAAGCGACGGAAGCCGCTGGGCGCAAAGTACTTCGTTACTTGGCTGGTACCAAGGACGTTGGCACTGAGTACTCGCCTGAAGCAGAGCAAAACTTCTACCAAAACGAAACCTAGCGGAACTGCAAGGCCATCCTGGCAACAGCAAGTGCGGCGAAAAGTTGTCCAGTCACCCCGCTGCCGCGTATGGAGACGCATCGCTTGCTTCAGCCTACCGCTCGTTGAAGAGCGTCACCGGAGTGATAATCTATCTTTTCGGATGTCCAGTGACCTGGAAATCGACGCCCCAGAGCGTGATGGCACAAAACACGATGGAGGCAGAATGGGTTGCATCTAGCAAGGCCATTGAGATGGCAGAAGGGCCGCGCCTTCTTTTGCAGTTCCTCCGAGGTAGAACCGAACTAGAGCAAGCAAAGGATCAAGAGTCTGACGCTGGGGCCATCTTATGCGACAACCGCAGCGAGGTTTTATCGGGACGGAAACCGCGACAAGAACTGCACAGGTCAACTAGGCACATCGCGACTAGGCGCGGGAAAGTCCTTGAACACGGTAGCCGCGTCGTGTTTGTTCCTACGCAAGAACAACGTGCTGACGCACTCGCGAAAAGAGCTTCGGAGTCATGCTGAGGCGCTTCGGATCATATTTCCGCAGGGAAACAAGAGCAGCGAAGCGCTTGATGTGCAAGAGGAAGCTGACTATGTGGCTTGTTTCCTCGAGATCCTTTGACTTGTTGACTTGAACCACAAGGCCAAAACTCGGGGCCAGGGGTCCGGAAAAATGGACCTAGGGCGCAAGTGCCAAAGGTCCGTCTCACCTGTTGACTTGTTCCAAAAAGCCAAAATAATTCGGGGCCAGGGGTCTGAAAAAATGGCCCTAAGGAGCAAGAGCGTGCGTTGAAGTCTTTAAAGCTCTAGCATGTGATGGCGTTGCAGCTGCCTGGTGGCCTCTGTCTCTGTCTGTCTTTTGAGCTGCGCGATGATATTGATGGCTACGAGACTCGAACCTTTGACGAAGCAACTCCATCGACAAGAGTCCAACACGGTAACCACTTGACTACTTGGACCATTAGACTTGCAGAAACAAAGTATGCAATATCTTGCACAGCGTAAGAGGTGCCTGATGTGCAGCACTTTCTTCGACCGTATAGCAATGCATTTGAGCACCGAAACGCGAAAAGTAGGCTTAGTCTTCTTGCCTTTTTCACACCTTGGCACGTGTACGCTTAAAATAAGGCGCATTTTGGTAGTTTTGGTCGGTTTAAGTTTGTCTGATTTTCTTGCTTTTGGTGCACGATGTTGCATCGAAGGGGGGAGCGTCAGGCTGACTGAGTCAGAGTGTTCTCATGCTGGTCCCCTGGTCCCTTGGTCTTCCTCCATGGTGTCACTTCAGGCCGTGAGAGCCTAGGAGTTTGATCGAGTGGCCATGATCTGAAGCAACCAAAGCGATCCTACTGAGTCAATGATATCGCGCATCAGATCGCTTCAACTTGAAGCGCCAGCGTTCGAATCCTTGAAGATGAAAGACTTGCAAACCCATGAATTCCGCACGAAATTGCATGCAACGCAGATTGATAATTAACCTAAGACCTCAGGCCTTTGACGATCGTGCTCCATCCTTACCATGAATCCGCTACCAAACACACAGTGCTAGGTAGTCCGTTTACACTGACAGGGGCTCCATAGGGGCACTAGCTTGGAAAGCTTTGCGGCCAGAGTGTCGACAGAATCGCGCCCCATCAGTGGAACGCTTTCCACTTTTTTCGGTTCAATTACTAGAGCGGAGGCCTTGGGCTGTGAGCTTATTCTGGTGGTGATCAGAAAAAAAAATTTTTTAAGCTCACTCCTGCAGGCTTTTCCCTTGAGAATGAGGGCAGCGGAAATTTTTATCAGTGCTGCTTCATGTCAAAAGGCGCACGCTTTTGAATTATCCAGACAACTGCTCCACGCTCGAAAATTCGACGCGGCTGATGCCTTCCCTCCCGGCGTATGTATCTCCCAGCCGGGCGGCCTCCTGCGTTTCTTTGTAAAAAAATAAAGCGAGTAGCCTTCTCTTTTTTTTATATGTAGGAGGCTGCTCGGCTGGGGGGTGCATACTCTGGGGGGAAAGCGATCAGCTGCCTCGAATTATTGCAAACGGCTGGACGGCTGACGCAGAGGGCAGCTTTTTTTTAACAATTTGCGGACGGGTCAGGCTTCACTCTCGGGCAACTGCATCAAAGTAAGGCCGCTCCGCTGTCATTAAACGGACACCGAAGCCGCCCCAGGAGCTGACTAAAAACAACAAGCCAAAATCTTCGGCGTCGAAAAAAGCAAAGCACAAAAAACAGAAACGGCTGAAATATAGCAGCGGCCTAGCGTCGCTGTCTGATTCATCGCGGAACTTAGTGGGGCTGGGGGCAAGAAAATTAATCGGGTGCAAGTGGCGCCATTGGCTGCCGATTAAGAGCCTGCTGAAGTCTTTCCCAGTGCGAGGCTGCCAAAGCATCCAGCCAGCGCCCGCGCCACCCCTGTCCAAGGCTTTCGCGGTCGGTGTAGTGAGCCACGCACAGGGCTGAGGCGGTTGCAAGGGATGCCCGCTCTGTGTCCTGGGATCGCTGCCCAGCCGTAGCGAAGCCGATGGCCAGACGCCAGAAAAGCACAGAAAAGAGGAGAAAGCAGCACGCAAAACCGACGGCACAGGGACGGCACAAGAGCAAACCGCGGCCACGCCTTGGGCAGGATCTGGGGAAGCAAATGAAGGCAAGAGGGGGCAAAGAAATCCAGAAGGGAACTGAGGCAGCGCTGCCCCTTAGCGGTTTCGCTTAAGAGTTTGCTCGCGGGAGGGGAGGGACTCTGATGGCGTGCAAGTGTCTCCCAAGATATCAGAACAAGACTGCGGCACAGAGGTGGCGGGCCCGTGGCACTTTGTGGAGCGAGATGGACGCGGGGAGGCGTGAGAAACAAGCGAGGGAAAGCAGCCGACGCGAAACCGAGAAGCAGAGGCCAGAAAAGCACAGGAAAGAAGACAGAGAAGGCAGCGCGCGAAACTGATAAGAAAGCGGGCGGCTAAAGAGCAAAACGCGGCCACGCCTTGAGCAAGATCGGGGGAGGCAAAGGAGGAAAAAAGGGTGCAGAGAAATCCACAAGGGAACCGAAGCAGCGCCGGCTCCCAACGGTTTCGCTGAAGAGTTTCGCGGGGTTGAAGCTGCTCCGCAAATTTTTCCACGCTTGTGGAATTTTCTCCCTCGCTTCGTGTGCTTGGTTGCTTGCCAACTGTCGCTGGCTGGTTGTCTCCTTTCGCCTTTTTTACTTACTTTCGCCGCAGGTAGCTGTCTGTCTCTGTGGGGTTCGCTGTGTGTCGTTTGCATTATTTTGCCTGCGCCGTTTTTAGGCGTCTATCTAGCTTCTCCCGAGTTGATTCGCAGGCTGCTGCGTGTTTTTGGCTGTTGATTTTTGAAGGGGTAAAAGGATGAGAACTGTCCCAGGGGTTCTCCCCTCTGTTCACTCTGGGCCCCTTTTCTGTGAAAAAGGGAGGCAGCCTTATTCTTAACGAAGGGCCAGGCGCTGAGGGGGTGGACAGGTGTGGAAACGCGCTGGGGGCTCCTTTGGCTGATTGGTAACAAAATGAGAGGGGTAAAAAACACGCAATAGCCTGCGCTAGATTTCTTGGCAAGTTCTTCCCCTATTGCTCTCCACCCTAGGGAGCTGCGAGGCGTTTCGAAATGGTTTGAGAATATTCAAGAAACTGGCGAACCAGTGAAGTCGTGCACGTTTCGCCTGTCTCGCATGTTCGTAGTTCTTCTCTGGCTGGTTATTGTCCGCAGCGGCCCAGCCTTCTGAACTGTTGGAAATTAGAGAGAAAACCAAGGGGGGCAGGCGGGTCGCCTACCTGTCGCCCGTCTCGGGTGTTCCTTGTTCTTCCTTGGCTGGTTATTATCCGCAGCCGCCGGCCCTTCTGAGCTGTTGGAAATTGAAGAGAAAGCCAAGGGGGGGGGCGTGCTGTCGTATGTGTTTCGCTTGTCTCATATGTTTCTAGTTCTTCCATGGCTGGTTATTGCTTGCTGCCGTCGACTCTTCTAAACTGCTGGAAATTAGAGAGGAAATCAAGGGGAGCAGGCAGGCCGTATGCGTTTCGCTTGTCTCGAATGTTTCCCGTTCTTCCTTGGCTGGTTATCCTTTGCAGCCGTGGCGCTTTCTGGAGTGTTGGGGACCGCAGGAAAAACGAAGGGAGGCAGGTGAACCGTGTGCACTTCGCCTGTCTCGGAATGCTTCAAGCCCAAGCCGCCCAGACTAGAAAAGCCGCCAGACAGCGGACGTGGCGGAGCCGTTTAGCCTTGCTTGGGTCTGAATAGCTCGCGCCGCCGCCTTCCTGATTCTGTGCGCACGCCTTCGGCCGTGGATGGTTGCGCCCTGGGTCGGGTGGCTGTGCACTCTCTGCCGCAAGTAACCCGGAGCCCGCGTGAAAGCAGGCGCCGGGGGGTGTGGCTCGTTTGCTATATTTTCACGCACTTCGCACGCGCGGCGCGGGTGCTTGCAGGCCCCTCGCCAGAGAGGGCTTCGCTGGTTGGCTTCTTTCTGTTGTTCGGCTGCTTGGCTTGCTCGGTCTTGCCTCGCGTTTTCTATGGGGGACTCCCCACACCCCAGGGAGAATCCCCCGGCTTGCCTGGCTTCTTCTTCGGATATCTCCAGGGGGATTCCCCTTGGGGTGTGGGGAGTCCTCCAGGAGGAACGGAGCCCGCGGCGGCGCCTCTGCTTGGTCAGGATTGCTGCTGGGCTGAGGGGGAGGCGAGTACCACAGGCAGGCACGGAGGAGAACAGCAGGGGCCACGCAAGTGCTGCGCAGGTGAGAACAGCCGCGGCGCCCGGAGTTTTCTGGCGTGCAAAACTGCCGAAAAGGTTAAGGAAAATGGGTGAAAGTCGACCACCTTGACAGAGTCTCAGCCATGTTAGAAGTGGGAAGCGTTCGGGAGCGCTCTCGCGGTATCTCTCTGGGACGAAGCCTTCGCTCTCGAGTGCGCCCGCGGTAGGGTCGGCTTTTCTGCTTTTAGCGACGCAGCCTGGGGTGGCCAAGATGACGGCAGGAGCGTACCCGGGGCGATGGTCTCCTCGCTCGGAGTGCTTGTGACTGGCGCGCGAAGCTGCAGAAGCAAGGGCACTGCTCTGGGGAGTTGTGAATCTGAGTACGTCGCTGGCGCGGAAACGCGTAAGGAAGTGGCGTCCTTGCGTAACCTCCTTGAGGAGCAGACAGCGAAGGGAAGCACAAAGGTACGGCCAGAACGGACGAAGGAATCGCCGACACGTTCCGCGAACGCATTGAGGAGCTTGGGAGCATCGAGGAGGAAGATGACAAAGACACCGAGGAGAAGCGGAACAGGGCAAAAGAGGAGGCGGAGCCAGGAGGGGAAGGCGGTCCGTGAAGACAGCCGAAAAAACCGAGAAAGAGCGGGAGAGAGTGGGCGCCAGTGGGCTGCCATGGCAGGCGTATGATACAGGGAAGCGATTGGGCAGGCCAAATATGCGGAGGCGGCAGGACCGGGCGGAGCTATTGGCGAGGCCTTCAAGCTGGGCCCGGTACACTGGGTGGAGGTCCTGAGGAAGATGGGCGAAGTGAATGGTGCTGGAGAACTGTGGACAGGATGGGCGAACCA